ATGTCCACATTGAGCGCATACTGGTAAGTTCAGTCTTCCCTTTTCAATACAGTCTTGGCAATACGTATTTCTTGAACTGTCTTGTTCAAAAATCATCCCTGTTATTAATTCATCAACAAAGTATTTGCAGCCGTGACATTGGATAGTCCTTCTTTTATGTTGTAGATATATGAGGGCAGCTTCCTGGGTTTGGAATTTGGTTTTGGTGGGGGAAATACTATCGGAAAGCCGTTGGTACTTCACCTCCATCCACCAATCTTTAGTTGGACCTTTATCGAGGATCATTGATATGTTATCGGGAGTTCAGAGTTTCACATTGATCCAGATAATTAATTCTTGGTAACATTTTTGACATTCTTTAGTAGCCGCAAGTCTTTGTTGGCACCAACAATTGGCCGGTCCTTTCCAATTGAATTTCCATCGGGAGCTTTGATAAGGAGTTTGGTTGAACTTTGCCTGTAGACGAGTGTACTTGTCCCAAGTGAGTGTATCATTTCTTATTTTAATTCCTTCTTTATATATTTGTAGTTCGCTTATTTTTGGTACTTCCTGAATTACATGACGAGGGACCTTCCTGAAATCGATTTTGTTGATTGTTCGGATGGGTGTTGGAATCTTAGTCCAGAGGTCATCGGAGCGCCAGCATAGAAAGTTTCAATTTTCCAGTTGTTGCTCTTCAATTTCATAATCACTTTGGGTCGATTCGTCGTCAGATAATTCAGAGTCGCTGGTGTCGGTTTCTATATTGATTTGGTTCTTTTGCTCATGAATATATTTGATGTCGACTTTTCCTTTCCGTCCTTCCCATTCAAGCGTCATTATTCCTTTCTTGATGTCAATATTCGCGTTTACTTTATTTAACCAATCCATTCCGACTAATACACTGAAGGTCCTTGCTTCAGTCACATCGACTTCGGCTGGGATTGTAATCTCATCGACAGTGATCAGGAAGTCGTCGATTGCTCCGAGAGGTTGTTTTGATAACCCGTTGATGTCTGTCATGGTAATGTTTGATTTCCTTTGGATTTTTATGTTCTGTTTTTGTAGGAAATCGTGGCTAACTACACATCATGAGACTCCAGTGTCGATGATAAGATCAATAGGCGTTGTTTCGATCTTGGTCTCACACCAGGCCGAGGTGGTTTTCTTATTAATGTGTCCTACCATCCCAGTAGTTTTTTTTATGACTTTTCTTTTTATAGGTCGTCGCATTCCTTTTGACATTTTGATCCGTTGTTCTGGGGAAGTCTTAATAAGTTGGGTGATCGTTATGTTGACCTTAGTGGTGACAAGGTCTTCCAGTATGTCGTAGAGAACTGCGCGTGAGGCTAACACGGGTAATTCTACCCTGTTTTTCTTTTTCTTTTTCTTCTCCTCGGATTTATTCTCGATTGGATTTTGACTGATATTCGGTTCATTAGGTACATTGTCTTGCTCGATGATTTGATCTGTATCATCTTGCAGATTGTCTCTTCATTCTAGCCTTGTTCATTTCCTTCCTGCCATATATTCATGCGTGACCAGTAATGATGTGGTTGCACCTGAAGTATTAGTTTGGGCGTTCTGAGCTGCTTGTAAAGTAGTTGCCAACGCTTGGATTTGTAATAGAAGCATAGTTGTGTTGGTCGAATCATTATTGTTTGTTGTTGGGGCTTGGTTTGTAATTACTTTGTTTGATTCGAAGGAAGTGTTATTCTCGAATGCCGGATTTATATTATATATTGGTCGCGAGTTTGGACGACCATTTATTCAGTTGTTACTGTTGTTTGGCGGATTTGTACAGTGTCAGGATATGTGGCCGGGTTGACCACATCAGTAGCAAACCAAGCGATTAGTAGAATTTTGTTGATTATGGCTCCGTTCATATATTCTTGGCGAGTATGTTGGTTTCCTAATGGTTTCTGTTTGTTCTAATTTATTGACCAGGGTTTGGAGCGTTTGATTGAGAGCATTCAGATCGGTCGAAGGCATTAATTGGAGTTGATGATAATTTTTAGTCAATCCTTCCGTACCAGCTTCTTCGATAGTTTTGGCTACTTCCACGACGTTATCCCATGTTCCGTTCGAATTTATGTGGACCCACCTCCTAATCTCCGGGTTGAGTCCTCGTTTATATGCGCGGGTCTTGTAGTCTGCTGGATAATGGTCATCGAGGTCGACTTTCTTTAAGAGCTGGACGAATCGATTGGTGTATTCTTCCACGGTTCCTTCTTGCTTTAGCGCTTCTAATTCTTCCTGCCACTGTTCTACTTTCCTGTTCATTCGAAATTTTGAGGTGAATTGATGCTTGAAGTCATGTTCATCATGGTTTTGGTTCATCCAATTATTTAGTCGTAGGTTGTCATCAATATTCCTTTGATCGAACCAGGCGGCGGCGGTTCCTTCAAGATATCCTCGTACAACCTGAATTTTCCTTTCGTTGGTGATTCCATTAGCACGGGTGGCAATTTCAAAATCGTGAAGCCACTCTATCGGGTCTTGATTTTTGCCTCGGAATTTTTTTATCGGAATAAGAATCTTCTCTGGTCGTCGAGTTATTCCTGCATTCATTGCACCGGTGAGCGCTGTCA